GCTCCTGCTCGACGCAGCCGCCGCGACGGGCATTGGCCGCGGCGTCCTCCCCGCGCCGAGCCGGGCAGCCCGCCTTCCTCCGGGGTCAGTGACTGCGTCTCCTGCCAGGAGCAGCCTCGAGGCGGCCGAGGGGCTCTACAGCCAGCTGGAGGAGGAAGTCCACGACCTGGTGTCCAAATCCAACAGCTGCCTGGAGCGCCTGGAGTTCCTCCGGAAGACCAGGGAGCTCGAGGCCGAGTTCGGCGAGGTGAGCTGGGGTGTCCCAAGAGCGACCGCGGGCGTCACGGGCCAGGTCCAGCCCCCTTTCTGTATGCAGCAAATTGAGGTTATCCAGCCTTGGGAACACAGCAAAAGAAATCTGCCCGTTTCCTAGATTGTTGATGATAAAGGAAATGCAGAGAATGACAGGATTGCCTGGAGCTTTGGTTTTAATTATGGGGCTACTGTGCGCAATCAAGTCTGAGATGAAGATAATCGAAGGGAAGGAAGGGGAGTTCCCGAGGAAGCCGCGGCTGTAAATAGCGGCTCTGGTGTGAACCCTCTTGCTCCCATTTCTGCCGCAGCTCGGGCGCTGGCTGGACGGCGAGGCAGCGGCTCGGCTGGAGGAAATGGGTGCCCAGGAGTGGAGCCCCGACGGCTGCGAGAAACCCTGCGAGCAGTTTAAGGAATTCCTCACTCAGGCAACAGTATGTTTGGAGGAGGCTTTTCTGTAATATTTATCCATAGGGTATCGCTACCACTAGAGCTGTTACACGGCTCAGGCTCTCTGCCAGGCACTCAGCAGAAAGCTAAAAATGCAAAATTAGAAGTGTTCCAATGTCATTACAGGCCGATACAGTCAGCCCAAGTTCCCCAGATTTGGTTTGGAACAAGACTCCTGCATGAAACTGGGTTTCCTCCAGGCTGGCTGTGTCAAACTTCAGTTTTCATGGCCGATTTTCCAAGGGGTTTACCAGGTTTTGGGCAGCCTCGTTCCTGCGGGGGGGAGACAGTTTCGCTGTTCACTGATGCGGTTTGGGCTGAGGTTGCCGTTCCCCACCGCTCCTGAGCTCCAGCCTTCGCAAGCCCCAGCTCCCCGCTCCTGCAGGGCCTGGGAGTCCATCAGACAATAACGTGATGGCAAAGATTTTTTTTCTTCACATACCCCTAAATACGAAAGTCATATCATTACATGCGCTGCACTGAGGAAGAAATGAGGTGAATCCTTTCAGGACAGAATAACCTGTTTTGTGCAAGGAGCAGAGATCGAGAAGCCCCATTCTCTTTGCTGCTTCTCACATGCCTAGAGATGTTTTGCTGTCCAAACCGAGAACGTAGCTTTGATGTTGATGGTGAATACTGAGCCCTGCAGAGAGCCTGACCCGTAACAAATAAGTCCACAAGGAAGCAGGTCAGAGCCTTTTCACATACGCAGCTTTTACTTCCTTCCTGCTGTGCCTGTAGGCTCGGTACAACCACGGGCTGGCTCTGTGTCAGGAAGCAGCTGAGGTCCAAGACTCGGCTTTCCCCGAGGCAGACTCCTTCCAGGTAGCTGCAGCCCTTTTTCGGACCAAGCTGATGAGCTTCCACGCGGCCGTGGAGCGACGGCGGGCTGAGCTGGAAATGCTGGAGGAGCTCTGCCGCTTCTCCAGCAAGGTGGGTGCGCGGCCGCTCCTGGACCAGGCACGGGCTGAGCAGCAAGAAAAACCAAACCAACAGCTCTCGCCTTGTTTTCCAGATCACGTGGCTCAACTTGGACTGCAAATGCTGCTTGGCCTGCGTGAAGCGCGGGGAGAGTCAGACGGGGAACCTGGAGGTGCTGCAGTGCCTCGAGAGCTCCTTCCAGAAGCTGTCGGTGGACTTCTCCCTGAAGAAGCTGCAGGAGATGGAGGCCCACGTGCACGCGATGCGGAGCAGCAGCGGGCTGGGAGCAGGGACCGCGGCGTGGCAGAGGTACCAGGAGGCCAGGCAGGTCCTCGAGGAGATGCTGGCAGAGCTGCAGCAGGCCTGGGCAGCGGGCGCCGACGGCCACGGGAAGGGAGACGCCTTCGGCTCCTCCCACGCGGGGCCCGCAGGCCCGGGGA